ATAAAGATTTAGAACTATCTTGTTTTAAAGGGCAATGCAGGCCAAGGTATAATACTTACTCATCCGAGAAAGTTTATTATTTATTCCGTCTAATAAATTGCGCACATCTGACTCAACAGGTTTAGGAGAAATCAGGTTTTAAACATCTAAGTTTTATTCCGCCGAAACCGTAACATATTTCTATTAACGATCACTGGTTGCCTTTCAGGTTCTCCATCTTTCTTTGTCCGAGTGTACATGGTAGAGATAGTACAAGTGATAGTAATCATTGTCATTGTTGTTAGTGCTGACATTATTGCAAGTCCAACTTCTCCTTCGCAAAACCCGCTTCTCCTCCTCCTTCTTCGTTTTCTTTTGTTTCGTCCTCTTCGGTATCAGCTAAGGTCTGCCAGTGTTGGCTGTCAGGCATATCTTTGGAGAATAACTTAGCTCCTATTTTGGTGGTATGGTATAGAAAGTAATGAAGTACAATTGCAGTTTATGCCAACCAGCAATGGTTTACCATTAATAATGGTGTTGTAAATATTCTTACAAGATGCATATGGATTTATTTTGTCAAATAGAAATTTAAATGTCCAAACTTTCATAATATTATAATGATATAAGTCAGTAATTTATAAACATTATAGCAGAAAACTGTTATATACTTAGAAGACAGCAAATGAGAAACACAATATAAAGATATGGACTTTAAACTTTGACTCAAGTGGTAAATATCAAGTAGCTAAATAGGTACCATACAAAAAGCTTAGGGAGAAAACAAATATAAATAGAAATTAAACAAACTCTCAGATACATGTATGTACCATTAGATCGCCTATATAATCTCTCTTTGAGTTCAAACAAGTGAAACGGTTACCAATTAACATTAAAGTTGTATCAATATTATGTGGGAAAGTTCATGTTGTTCATTTGCTAATGGTAACATATTTTGTGCAGTCTTAGAGAAAGTGCTTTACAATTTCCCCTTCATTGCATTAGCATGTCCAAATGGAGAAGATTCCTCTCCACAACAGAAGTTGGTAAAAAAAAATTGCGGAGATTTGTCCTTGTTATAGGCGTTTGAATGTTTGTTCAACACCAAATATGTCTAATATTTACCTGCTGTAAACTTGGAGAAACTAAACTCAGCGATTATCTAGAAGCAATACCATTGTACAGTTTGAAATTTTTATCACTCACTGTTCATGGCGTCTTGTTCAAACTCATTCACATTGTGTCTCTTCCACAACTCCTGCATATAATGTAGGTAGACTGTATTGCATATAAACTATTTCACATTTCACATGCTTGAACTTGAATTTATTTTCTGTAACAACGTTTTTATACTGGGAAAAGTTATCCTACATGATATATCTGAACTCCAAAAGATGTATTATAAATGTAAAATAAAGAAGCTTCAATAATTTTCTATAAGGTTTAAATTTTTAACATTAATATGTCTAACACTGTCCATGTTTTATAGATAACGCCTCTATATGCATGGATAAAGTTTCTTCCATTGTTAGGTCCCAAGGTTAATAATAAGCAATATTCCTAATAATAGTATCTTAGCAACTGTGTGTGATGTTCTCTTTAGATATTCTGGATATGGTCATTGATTTAGTTTCCTTGGATTAAAATCAGCCAATCGCTGATAACCCTGCAAAATGATTGAAGTAGATTTTCAGGAATAACACTTGCACCCATTTATAATTGACAAGAATGTGTCATCAGTTAGATAAGCTTATCCTGACTATCAATGCCAGTATTTTTACTATAAATTAACTTTACAGTAGTCCAAATACATATCCATCCCAAATATGAATGTCAGTATTTTTACTATAAATTAACTTTACAGTAGTCCAAGTACATATCGATCCCGAATATCAATGTCAGTATTATTACTGTAAATTAACTTTACAGTAATCCAAGTACATATCCATCCTGAATATAACAATGGTGTTGTAAATATTCTTACAAGATATATGAGTATGACTCTCACTAGCACCATCTACCTTGATAATGTCGAGATTTGAAAATGTATTGTCTGTAATCATTTCTGATAATATAAATATTATTAAGACCAATGTCATGAAGATGCTAAGAAGAATATAGCAAAGAGGAATTATCATTTGATAAAGATTGTTCAGAAAAATATTTGTTAAATAAAGTTGCTTTATCGAAACTAGTGTGAAAATATTAGTTATGATGTGCTTGACGTAGCTAGTCTGGTTTTCTATTTTGCATCAGAAATGTTTTGGTTATATTCGATTCAAATGCTTGGTTCAATATTGGATAGTTAGAGTTTGATAACTAATTTTAGTTTTTAATTATGACGTTTGTTACTTCTTAAAACTACTCGATTGTCACCAAATTTGGCAGAGTGTGCACAAAAGTTCGTCATGTTAACCAAACTGGGATTTCATTTCCTTTGCCTATCTAGCATTCTAATAGTATTAAACATGCAAGGACGATCTCATGAATGAACTGTTATTATTTTATTGGGATTAGCGGATTGGACTGCCCTTACGACAGTGCACGAAATCTTACAGACACGTTTCATCTATTATAAGATTTTTTTCAAGGTTCCAATTACCTTTGTATAACAAGTTTCTCTATAATTTGTAATTAGCCGCTTTATATAACAATAAACAAAATTACTATCACTACAAAAACGATCCAAGAGTTTTTTCATAACGCTTGAGGTATCACTCATGCATTAAAATCACTCAATTTTAAGCTACGGTTATTAATTCTTGTTAGTTGATCGATCAGTATATATAAGTCTAGTCATTGAATCTCTGGTGAATATACAATGTTTTAGTTAAGTTTTCTTCCTTTAAATATTATTTCAGCTCAATAAGGGGTTCGGTATTAACAGATTCTTCTTTCCAATAAAAGCTTTTTCTGCTTATATATATATATATATATATATATATATATATATATATATATATATATATATATATATATATATATATATATATATATATATATATATATATATATATATATATATATATATATATATATATAATATTCTCATTTCAATTTCCATGGAGACAAATTAGTGGTTGATTGAATATTATATTGTCTGTTATTGGTCAACATGAGAGGCCTCTGCCGAGTTAGGTGCCACGCGTGGACGCGTGTCAGTGTCCCTAACCAGTAAAAGTAAGGAGCAGACAAAAGTTGACAGTCTACTTAATTATCATATTTTTAAAAGTTACAGTCGTGCTTTATTAATGATCAAAGGTCTTATAAGAACACATTCCTACAGGAATATTTTGTGATATAAGTACAAATACGTATTAATAGATCGTATCTAATAATTATTTTATTATAAGTCTGGTAAATTTTGGATTATAACATCCTACACAGCTCTGAGATTAATACTGATTCAATATTGAATCGATCGAAAACTATGAAAGCGAAAGATCTGTAATCCATTTAAATGTTAATATCTCAATATTCAGCTCAAAATTTACAACTTATTTCAAAACGTAGATTGAGTGAAATAGTATTTTGTAAGAAAAACAAAAATCAACATGCGCACCATTACCCGAGTTTTATTCCAAATTGAGACGTTTAAGTGAACGCGAGACCAAGATTGCTTTGGATGAATCAACTAAGTGAAAGCGAAACCAGGGACACTTTGGATGAATAAGCAGGTTTTATCAAACAGATATATCTAAAATTTACTATTTACTGAGTACTTGAAAGAACTGACAAGATTGAGTAAATATTTCTGTATCAAACGTGGGATAGATGAAATTCAGTTCTCGTAACATGAGTGGTTACCAAGAGATCGTCAATGCCTGCCACATTATCTACTAGGATAGTAGATTTAGTATGTTTACGGACTTATGCATGCACTGGTCCACTTTAACCGGGCGCTATTTATCTTTATCCTTGGCAAGATAGATATTTAGTAAAGGTATTTGTAAAACGTTTATAAACAAGAAACATTGGTCTAGAAAGCTTCATTACATTTGTGTACTCATTGTGTATTGCGTCTAACATTAGAAGAGAGTCCGTCAAACTAATTACCCCTTCAATTGTATGACACAAAAATAATAGCAATTTCTATATTAAAAATTACTAGATGTTCTTTTACTGCTTTGCCAGGTTTAAAAGCAAATGTTCTATGTTTGCATTGTCTCGCGTAACACGCCATAAGACGTGCTGTATTTAAGTGTAAGTATTTAAGATCTCGCTTCACGAGAAGATTATATTTCAACAGTTATATATTAAATGGATTTCAAATAGCTGTTTAAATAATTATCAACATTAAAACTGCAAAACTAACTTTAAAATTAGACCAATCAGTGAGCATGATATAATTTGAAGATTTATTATATACTTGATTGTGAAATGTAGAAACGTGTTTGGCGAAATAATTTTCATACGTTTTCTTTATCCTTTTATTTTAACATGAGACAAAAGGATTAGATTTCCCATCATACCATGCCACGCTTGATTTTGAGGCCTATAGAAGTTCTATCTACAGCAACAATAACGAGAACCTTGTGTACTACAACAAATAAATCTAAACTCCACTACATTTCAAACAAGACAATTAATGTTTCTTGAAGAAATTTATATCGATACCATTCGCGTATTTAAGAAATTATTTCCCCTTACTTCGACGCAGTTAAGTAGAACTTGCGACAAGACATTGCGAAGCCCCGAGTGGCCGAGTGTTCTAAAGCGGTCACCGTTATGGATCACTCACATCTCACCTCTGTCTGCGTTCGTTCGAATCTTGGGCTCGGCCAATGTGGATATGTGAAGATTTTATGTGAAGTGATTATGATTTTTAACGTAGCTTTATCAATTTTTCGGTTATATTGCTACGATATCTGCAATGTGGCAGTTTATAGTGATGTCTAGCACTGGGGCATCATGGTGCAGACATGTAGCATGATGTCCCACCCAGTCACATTATCCTGACACCAGGCCGACCTGTCCTAAAACTAACCTCTTAATGATGAGAGTCAAGCGAAGTCTTTCGTTTGACGTGACCGAGAATCGAACCCACGACCTCCCGCATCCGAGGCGGACGCTCTAACCACTAGTCACGGGAGCGGTTGGTTAGTGGATCGTTCCGGAGTTTTCCTGCACTCTTCCTCTACCATTTATACTGGCCGCCATATATATCCTATATTGTGCTGAAAAATGGCGTGAAACACTATAACAACAACAAAACGTTGCGTGTCTATTGTTCATAACTTTTTTATGAGCTTTTATATTTATTAGATCTTCAAGGCAATAAATCAATAACACCTAGTGTTTTGATGTCGATTATATACCTTTATTTGGTGTTTGTCATAGCTTTATCCTCATCTAGAAAGATCAACTGGTATTTTATATGTCCTTTTTAAAAAGAGATTAGAAAAGATACTGGAGTTATCTCCTGTTTATTAATATAGTCAGCAACATGAATTCATTTACATGAAGTAGGACCTCTGCTGGTTATAAACTTGCCAACAAAAAGTGACGTTCTATATGTATGTTAATCCGCATTATCCAATCCAATTTCGTTTATGAAGAATGCCCCTTTCACAATTTACCTGTGACGGCATCAACAGCCAACATGTACCATGTAACAATATATGCGGCTACTTTTGTGACATGCGGCAACATACACAGCTAACTTGTACCCTGCGACCATATACAGAGTGAACTTGTGCCATGCAACTGCATGCATAGCTAACTAGTGTCCTGTGATGGAATGATTTGTACCTTGAAAAGTTATACACATGTGTCATTTGCCCTGAGACATTACATATCTATCATGTTCCCCATGGACGGTATTCGCAGATAGTATGTGCACTGTGACCGTATGCACAGCTAACGCGTACCTTGTAACCGTATACACAGCTAACGTGTTCCCTGTGACCGTATGCACAGCTAACGTGTGCCCTGTGACCTCATTCACAGCTAACGTGTATCCTGTAACCGTATGCACAGCTAACGTGTTCTCTGTGACCGTATGTGCCCTGTGACCGTATGCACAGCTAACGTGTACCCTGTAACCGTATGCAGAGCTAACGTGTTCCCTGTGACCGTATGCACGGCTAACGTGTATCCTGTAACCCTATGCACAGCTAACGTGTTCTCTGTGACCGTATGCACATATAACGTTTGCCCTGAGACCGTATGCACAGCTATCGTGTGCCCTGTGACATTATGCGCATGTAATTTATGTCATGTGGCTGTATGCATGTCTAATGTGTGCGCTATTATCTGTATAATTGAAGGAATTTTAAGCCTGTTGATCGCTAGCTTTACTTAAGGCACTAAAAGAACACTTTATTTTCTCAACCATTCGTTTATTATCACATGCCTTGCCTGAATTATAATGTTTGCTTAATTGTCTAAAGAAACTACCTGGTGATGCAAGTTTTCCTGCTGAGTCTGAGAGCAATTAGCTGATTATATTTGTCCTGTGGTTACTTTTGTCTCATTTACATTCTTCTAAAATTTATTGTAAAGATTTATGAAACATGTTTAAACGTCGCTCGAACAATCTAATGTCCCATTATATACCCTGCTGTTTCCATGAGTGCCTGTCACTGCATCGTTTCTACCAAACAGTTGCGTTGGCGTAGAAAAAAAATTTGTAAATCAATAAATTACTGATCTAGTTTAAGATTAACCGTTTGTCAATGTCCCTGAAGCTTGATATGAAGTAATCACGTTTGAATTTTGATGTTTCGTAAGATGCCACCGTCTCATGCTGATGCTTATTTTGAGAATGTCCTGATCATGCCCTATGTCTTGTGAGTATTAAACTGGCAATATTAACATTTTAGGCTTTTAAGTAATATAGGAATTGGGTAAAAATGAAGTCGTCAGTCTATAACTATCTTCTTATTCATTGATATAAAACTCTCATCTCTTTACTGCATATACACTAAAAAAGTCAAAAAGTCGACGAGTAAGACAAAATTCAAACATCTGACAAATCGCATTAAAACGGCTTAGGACCGTATAGAACACGGGTTAATTAATACACCTGGTTGGACAACGTTTGCTACATCATTTCAAATGCATGACATGGTCTCACTTCATTTAATTGAACGATACCGCATTAACCGTGTTTAGTGGAAAATGAAAACTGAGTAAATACGTCAGGAATTTCCAGTAGACATTGGTTATAAACTGAGTTTAGGGTCTCACGAACTTACGAGGACATGCATGGCCACATGAATGAACACCCATTATTTGTTTTAAATATTCAGTTAACAACATTCTCTGTGTATACTTGCAACTTGCATACAATAATTATGTTATGTAATACGAGTAACACAGTTCAAGCAAAATATTATTCCAGCGTTTTAGTATGCATTTTACATGCAAACACCAGGCATTAACATTCTCCTTTGCTGCTATGGAAACACGCGCGGACAAGGGGTGATTCAAATTCAGTAGCGAACGAAACTAAATTTCTTAAAAAGAATAGAATGCCGTGTAGCTAAAAAAAACACTGCAAAGTATTGATACCAAGATAAACTGACGAAATGCATCAATGAAAATAGAAAATTGTCTTTATATAAAGATGAGTCAGAAGAAATACATCTCATGTTATAGCTGTGATTGTATCAGTGTTGATATTTTAATGGCGAGTAATTCTGAAAGTGCGCTGCGTGTCATGAGACCTTACAGGCTATAGTGGTTCTTCCATATTGGAAAATACATCGCCAGAAAAGGAGTCGCTTGAGTTTCAATGAATTCCTATGTAAAGATAACAATGATATTCAGAGTGGATACAATTGCATTGTTTACATAAAGGAGTTGCTAATGCATTCTTTACTTAAATGTGTTGTCGATGCATTGTTTACGAAAAGGAGTTGTTGATTATTACATTCGATCAAAGGTCAGTATTTCATTTGAATGAAAGACATTTTTTCTTTGGATGAGAGCTAGATCTACTGGTTGTTCTGCACTGGATGTGAGGTGGAAATGGTTACCGTCATTCTCGGCCTCTGGTAACGATCATTATTTAAGACGCAGTCAGCTTTTTCCGTTTCTTTTGCAACAGTTCTGGTGACCTACGTGATTTGGGTGTCTGCCTCGGAATGTGGGAGGTGGCAGGTTCTAACCCCGGCAGTCATACCAAAGACTTTAAAAGAATAGCAGCAGCGTCGCTTGGCGCATTAAAAGGTTAGTGTTAAGAATTACCTGAATGGTCAGCCTGGAGTCAGGATAATGTGACTGGGTGGGACATTGTCCTATATGTCTGCGACATGTTCCTCCAGTGCTAGACGTCACTATGAATTGTCATAATGCAGACATAGTAACGATACGTCTCAAATCGTTAAAGTTACGTTACAAATTAAATTCACACAGGTTTTCTTCTCGCCATTTTCAATCTCCGTAGTTAGTAAATATAACGAATGCGGGCACCTGTTTACTATATAAGGAAGCAGGAAGAGGTGGCTGCTTTTACTTTTAGGTACATAAAGCATGTGTTTCACTTTATCCTGAAACAAGTGTGTTTATTTATATAAATGTATTTATATACATACATACATACATACATACATACATACATACATACATACATACATACATACATACATACATACATACATACATACATACATACATACATACATACATACATACATACATACATACATACATACATACATACATACATACATACATACATACATACATACACATACGTACATACAGACTGACACAAAGATACAGAAAATGGACAGACAAATAGAAAGATAGAATGTAACGACCTTGGCATATACAGCAGAATATAAAGCTGTATCCTGGCTAATATAAAAATGATATATTAATAAATTAAGTACTTAATACATTTGAATTAAGCTCATCTTTCGAATATTATTGTAATATACCACAGTATGTCACCATAAAACTACACTAGCTCTAAAAATTCTTGACTTATGTCGTATAATTGTTGTTGGTGTCATATATTTCTATATATAAAGTTACGCATTTTCAGCATTTCAGTTTGTTACCTTTTTTTTGGTAAATTCATTTATACGACACTTGCCTGATAAGTATAAGTGCGGATGTTATTAGAATACAGATAAGCATAAAAAAAATTATGCAGTCGATTGCAGGTGCATATGTATATCTATGTACCAATTTTAATCGCTTATAAGACGGGCCTAACTGCAAACAACAAAGATCCTGATCTGACTTAGCATAATGTACATACATGCAGACCGGAGTATATCTAGTTTGTTATAATGCTTACTCATAACAAATTACACACACACACACACACACACACACACACAAATCTGCCGGCACAATATACGACGGCATATCTGGGTATGTGCAATGTGCAAGTTGGACTCGATTTATGAGCGAGTTAGTTTTCGTACTTAGATGTAGATGTAAATGTATGAACAGATAAATGTAAAGTAATAGTTTGTGTGCGTGCGTGTGCGCGCGCGTGTACGTGTATGCTAGATAACAAGGTGAATAGCATGTTAGGGAGGAAAGTTGATATCTTGGCGCGTAATTAGAGCCATAATGAAAACATGCAGTACAAAAAAAGGCAGAAACTAAATGCATGTTTCTGATTGTTCAGGAGAGTGATCCGAGGGCAACGGACAGGCAGAGAAAGAGAAAGAGACAGAATGAAAGAAATAGTCAGATAACTAAAATACAAACTGAGTAGAGTTCAATAAATATTCGTTTAATATTATTTTGCTTTAACATCAAAACATTTAACAAAAACTCTTCATATACATGTATCACACAGTACGTTAAGTCACCTAATATCTGGTTATCTTATAATCATAACTTTAGGATCAAACCTCTCTCACATCATACATTTTATCCCTTAGAAAGATGAAAATAAATTCGCTTATATATATATATATATATATATATATATATATATATATATATATATATATATATATATATATATATATATATATATATATGCATGTATGCATGCATGTATGTATGTATGTATGTATGTATGTATGTATGTATGTATGTATGTATGTATGTATGTATGTATGTATGTATGTATGTATGTATGTATGTATGTATGTATGTATGTATGTATGTATGTATGTATGT